TTAGAAATTGAAAATATTGATGAGAGTGATGTAATTTTAAATCATATTTTTGGTAAAAAACAAAATATTAAACAAAACGAAATGGAATTATATTTAAATGCCTCTTGAGTAACAAGAAATCAAGATATTCTTCTTTGGTGGAAGGTATGTATTTAATGATATATTATGTAATTTATATAATTATTAATTAAATTAAATTATGTAGTTACATAAAACCGAATATCTACATTTAGCTATAATGGCTAGAGATTATCTTGCGATAACAGGTAAAAATAAATAAATAAATATATATATATATATTGGTTATTAAACATTAACATATACTTTTTTAATAAAGCAATAAGTATACCAGTAGAACGAGTTTTTTCTGATGGAACTGATCTAATATCGACCAAAGGATGTGGTCTTAAAGCTAATACAATTCGCACCTATATGTATTTGAAATCCTGGTGGAAAAAAAATGTAAAAAAAAATAGTTAGGAATTAATATAAAAAAAAAATGAAAATAAGCAATTATAAAAATAAAATAAACTTTATATACAACATTTTTTTATTTCAGAATTAATATTATCCTTGAACTTCGAGTCAATCCTGGGTTGAACCGAGTCGAACAATGATCGGGTCAAGTTAAATTCAGATTCTATAATTATTAACAGGTTTGAGTTCAAATTTGCTTCAAACCCGATCCGACCCGATTCTTATAGAGTACTAGTCTCAATAAAATATCCTGTAACACCAACCCAACATATTATCAAGATCTCATTTTACAACAAAGAACAAAGAGATCATGCGTGTTCAGTTCATTTACTAAATCTAGAAAAACACACATTCCTACCCTAGATGTAATACCAAATTTTCTGTATATTCTGACGCAGTCGATCAAGGTTACAGAAATATCCCTAGATTCGACAAAACACTGGATCAAAACTACTTTTAGTTAATTTGGTAAGATCATCAGATTCAACATAAAAACAAAAAATATGTGGCAGCAAGCTACCATTACCTATGCAGAAAATGCTGACTTTAAGAAATTGAAAACATGCAATAGTGTTTTCATGTTCAATGATATGATTAGAGTACATATGTGTAACCTCAATGGCAAAGATATCCGTGATAAATCAAAATTTTCAGCAAAATTAGCTGGTCTGTCTAGAAATACTAATGGCAAGCACCTTATCGACATCGGTCATTTGACACATGCGACTGCCTGAATTATCCCTAAGGTTTGATCTAACTATCGCAATCTGCAACATGCATTTTTTTATTTTGCTTCAAGTAAAGATATGGAAGCAGCAATTAGTAATGAAAATCTTACCATTAACAGGAAGCACGTGATATAGACAGATACCAGTGCTAAACTTTGTGCTATTTGTTCATCACCTAATCATAAAGCCAGTGAATACTCTAAACATAGAAAAATCCTGCCGACCGTAATATGCAAATTTTGTATTAAAGGTTCCAACCAGCGTAATTTATGAATTACAAGACACCTCCCAAAAAACTAACAGGTGCAGTTAATCCACATATAACATTTGCTCATATGACACAAGAAAGGAATGGTGATAGACAGGAAAATGCTAAGGTGAGCAAACCAAATAATAAATCAATAAAGAATGCTTCTCGTTCAAACCAACAGCAACAAAACAAAAACAATATTATCCCACCTACTGAATCCTGGTCTGATGATATCCCACCTAATCTAGAAAGGGAATACTATTTTGATCAAATGAGCTGCTCTACACCAGGGAGTAACATCAAAAATGACACTAAAGCTGGAGACTCTATGTATGACAAATCTGAAGGATCATTTGAAAAGTTTGTTAAACAACAATTCTCTAACTTGGCAGAACAAATGGGCATGCTCGTGAATACACTTGCATTCACAGTCAAGAGAGTTAAGTCTGTGAAATGTTCATTAAATTTTAAAGTAGTGACATCTGCAGAGACTGAAGCCCATAATCTAATTCTGATGAAATGATTGACGATTTAATCCCTCATGTTGATACATCCTCTTCTATCATTATGTAATAACGCTAAACTATTGATAACCTACGTAGTGTCAATGAAATGCAACAAAAAAAGTTGAAATCTGTTACTTTCACAATAAACACTTTAGTACAATCACGTTTCATATTTCAATCAATCCTTTAGAAGGCCAACTTACTCCCAACTGAACAGGCTACTACATTTTTTCCACTTAGTAATAGTTTTGATAGTGATATTGATGTTTTCCTTAAAGTACTCCTCCAATTCTAATTTTTTTATGAATACTGTTTCTACAGATTTTTCTGCATAAGCTGCACAATCCAATATTAACAACTTCATTTCTACTTCGATTTCCCATTTATCATTTTCCTCACATAATGTTCGTTCATTCACTAATATCACCAAACAAAATTTTCTTATTAATCTTTACTTGTCATTAGATATACATGTAATAGAATTACAAGAAACAAATTTTACTCAATCACATATCCGACCATTTAACCTCACTTTCCTTCACCAATTCTAAGGTTTCTTTAACCTTCTATCTCAATCGAACGCATAGAAATCTGGCTTTAGTGTTGGCATTTTACTTAAACCTGTTCTTGCTAACCATGTCTTCTATTATGAAGTCAAACACAATCGTTTAATCATAGTAGATCTGCAATTTGCAAATAAACAGAAACTTAAAATCATTAATTATTATCTCCCACCAGGAAATCTAGCATTTAGGAATGTTATTCAACTCGACCTTATGAAATATATTAGAGAAGTGATTTCTAATAACCATCATATCGTTCTTCTCAGTGACTTTAATGCTAACATGAATAACCTAAAGCTACACTTACAAGACAAAAATCTTTTCTCCATGCTGAATAATGCTCACCTATTCAATACATTTTCAGCTAAGTATGATTAGCACTGAGCCACATATCCTACATATCGTTCAACAAAGTTAAATTCTCGAATTGACTTCATCTGTCGTTTAGTGACGTGATCGCTAACTTTGATTATTGCGATATTGAAGATGTTCTGCCCTCTGTATCAGACCACTCTTTAGTTATTCTTAGAGTTGATAACTTCTTAGCTGCTAAAAAATATAAAAGGAATATTCCTTCAAAAAAAGTTTTTGACTACAATAAAATGTCAGACAATAAGTGGCTCAAATTTGGTATCAAAGCAGTTGCGCTAGCCAATGGATGTCAACTTCATGCACTCACTAACAAAACCGTATTCAACCAACAAATATTAAACTGATACTGGGATCTCCTTCAAGAATGTATCATAAAAGCTGCAGATACTTCTATTCCCTTTCATAACTTAAAAGGGCAGCATTCGGTGAAAAGACATCCTCTACTTTTAAAATTATATAAGCAACTCAAATTCTTATATAAATTCAAGAGGGTAACAAAGAAAATTAAACGCACCTTCGTCATTCTTTTTAACTGGTCAGTATTAATTGATAACTTTTATATTATTATAAAAGACTCTGATATTATACATGTTACAATATCACCTGATCTGTCATTCTTCATTATTGATTTACTTTTCCCTTTCATTAATCAGCTGCTTGGCAGCGTACTTATAAAAGCTAAACTTCATGAGCATGACTTTAAGCTCAAATCAATCCAACAGGCTATAGAAAGAAGATTAGATAATTACTAATCTTTCTTGCAAAAATGACTGACTTACTGTTAGGATGCTCAAAACGAACAATTATTATTGACCGGTGTATAAACAATGCGTCTTCATCACTCGACCTTTTAATAGACAAAGATGCAGTCAAACAAGAAGTTGTTAGGCATTTCCAGATGGCTGCTAATACTGCTCATGAAAATGTTCATATTGATGATGACTGGTTACCTTTCTACCAACTGTTATCTGATATAGATTTTATGATTTATAATGACCTAATAAACCTACCATCAGCGGATGAGTGATATGATCTTATCACTCATCTCCCTAATTGAAAAGCACCCGGTCCTTCCAAAGTATCCAATGATATGATCAAACATCTTGGTTCTTTGACAAAAAACTTCTTTGGTATATAATTGTAGATGTCTTTCAACCTTTTTACTACTATATCAGTGAAATCATGTGTTTATTTACCCGATTCCAAAACCAAAACCTTGGGAATATGATTTGAATAATACTCATCCTATCACTTTACTTGAATGTTCTCGCAAAGCTCTCATCAAACTCTTAAATTGTCAATTATCCAAGATCATGATTGAACATAATGTCTTAAAAGGTTTAAACTTCGCTGGACTACCATTCAAGTCAACGTTTGAACTACTACATATTATCGATAATATTAAATACAATGCCAACCATAATAAAAAAGACCTTTGGATTATACTACAAGATATATCCAAGGCATACAACTGTATCAATATCTTCATGCTTATTAGAGCACTGGAATGACTTCACATTCCATTTAATTTCCTTTAATTTATCCTGAAAATGTTTGGCAATTGTTACAGTCAAATATTTACATTATTTGGTAATACTGACTCTTATAGAGTGGTATCGGGTATTGACCAAGTGAAATCATTCTTCACTATTGTGATGCATCTATTATGATCCTTTATTGTGTCATATCTAAAACTCATCGCATAGATACTCTTTAACGCATTTATGGAAGCTGAACGTACTTATTAATGAAATCAAGACAACATCACTAAAGTTTCTGCACTCTGCATATATAGATGACACTCTATAGATTGCAAACTCTCAGAGTGATCTCAATAATATCGTTAACATTGCCAAAATTTTTATAAACTCAACTATATAAAGTTAATTGTGACAAATCGGTTCTCATAATTAACAAAACGCAATCCCAATAACCATTTATGTGTGATATCAACGGTAGTCTGACAAGTAGGGTTCCGCAATTCGATTTGATATTTGAATATTTGATTTGAAAATCAAATCAAATACAAATTCAAATTTAT